ACATGACTACTGGACAACCATTAAGAATTTATGGCTTCTCTTGATTATTGCTGGGTGAAATGACCTAATAAGTGAAATAATGCCCGCCATTGACCGGTGGAGCATACTTTTCAATAGGAAAAACAAAAAACATCATTGGTGTGCTGAAATTGCTGCAACATCCGAACGACACAGCTTACGTACTCTCTACAACTTTGCTGTGTTTACTGCTGCTACTGATAAATTGATTAACAACATGCTTATGGATTCATGCTGTACACCTATGAAGTTCCGCAATCATTTTACTATGTAGACGAGGCTAAGGTGCAAGGTCATGCTTAACAATGCTACAATGAGGTGCTTGTGCCAAAGTTTGAAGAAGCCAAGTTAATCTAATCTGTTTGACTTCTCGTGTGTTATGAATGGGCGAAAGAAAAAAAAGTTGGCTTTTTCTGTCTCGACAATTAACTTTTTTTTCAAATCAATCACAAATTCCATATTTTTCTGCCTGCTCAAATCGAACAGGTGGAGAATGACTTGTGTTTCCTGTATATTTTTGCATTACAGGGTCTGCAATACATCACGGGATTTGTATACATCATCTGGAGCTTGTCGATGAAGTGAGGGGCTTGCGTTCGGCGACCCTGGCTGTCGTTGTGCCTGGAACTCCTCAGCCTTTGCTGTAACCACAGTAACGACCATGGGCATCATTTTTTCTTTAATAACTTTTCTTTCTTTAGTGTTGTTTTACTTGCAAGTTAGCTTATCAATACGACAAGTGTAGTGCATAACAGTGTTCAATTATCCACTTTGTCAGAGTCAGGTGAGGGTATCTTCACACATTACTTTTACGTGTGCTCGTCAGCCTTCTGAAATGATGCACACAACAAATATCACGTGGCTTCATTTCATCAGACAAGCCTGGCATGTATATATGTAGCGTTCTAGTATTAATTACCCATTTGACACAGTGTTTCATTCAGCATGATGTTTCTTGTAATGTGTGCAATGCAATAAATCTCTCCTTTGAAAACATGACACCGTGACACCGTGGTTTCACAACATGCAATTATTTACAGAAAGTGTACGCCATCTTAGCATTGGCATGAGCATGAACAAAATAATTTTTTACAAAGTTCCAACTTGAAAAAAAGACCGAGTCCTTTTTCTTTCTCATTACTTCAGCATTTACAACTGAGCCACTAGACTATCTGTTTTGGTATGGGTTGTCCCATTCCAGAAGAAAAGTGTGGAGGATGTGCCACAGAAGGTCACATAGTGTAGTAGGTGTGCAGTGCATAAACAGGAAGCGAGAAGACAGTGCGCAGGCATGAAACAGACGGCGGCAACAATTGTTGACGGCTGCGGCATGACAGCAGCGACAAAAATGATACTGCTGCACTGTGGTTACAGTGCTTAACTGGGGACCCGGATCACATGGGCATGTTAATGTTGCTGAAGTCGTACTTCGATGAAGGTGGTATTCAAGAGGCTTGCGTAGCATTTTCATGCAAATTAAAAACCTGTGGTGTTCAATTTTTCCAAAGACCCGAATTTAAGCGTGCCTCGTAATCATATTGGGGTTTAAGCTCATAGAACCCAGGATTATCTTAATTACAAAAACCTTCACCAAAGTGATTCCTTCCCAGTGAGTGGGCTAGACTGTGTTACTGCTTCAAAATTCCATGCTAAGTTTCTGGAAACACCATAGCAGCTGATCACATAGGATGTCACACTACTAGACTTGTGGACGTGTGTCCCATTGCTGCTGACAGCAGTCTTTGCGAGAGCACCTGAGGAGGAAATGCAGAAGCATCGGTCGATTCATATTAGATGGATGTTAAAGAACCACGGATGGGCAAGCTCTTGCAATGCAGCACAAATATTTTAGCACTGCCGTTGCTGCTGCGGGCGGTGCAGTCGCGTGCAAACTCTTCTTAAATACTGCAGGTGTTGCTGCCTTGTGGTGCCTTACAAGCTGATAACACAGTTGCGGACAACTTGCCCAAGCAAGTTCACTCAGTATGCTGACATGCTCTGTCTAAATCGAGGTTGGAGGTCATCATCGAGAAAGCTGTCATGCTCGCTGTTCTCGTCACCACTGTCATCGCTGAGAGTGTCAAAGCCTATTTCACCCTAAACAAAGAGTGTGCAACACTGCACATGCAGCAACAATACTGGAAGAACATTGCGGTGAGTATGGGGGTACGGTGCCGCTGAAAGCAACGAAAACGGCTCTTCAAAAGCCCAATACAATGCTCCACTATAGAACGCAATGAAGCTTGTGCAGAGTTGTATTTGATTTCTGCACTATCCAAGTGTGGAACAAAATTTCCCCAGTACCACAAGTCAAGACTCGAGGGGGTAGCCATCGTCACCTGCAGAAATATGAATTGTGTTGTTATACTGCTAAAATGACTAGGATCTCTTGAAGCTTGTTGACCCTAGTATACAAACAACTGAATCCGTGGTACCTCACTAGCCTGACATTGACCCCGTATTTTGCAAAACACCTACTACGATGAGGTTGTCATTACATAGCGCATCACTTAACAATACTGCAGCATTTAAGCCACAGCTGAGTGATTGTGCACCAGTAGCATGCGACATATTGCCACTTGTCAGTGCGCTGAAGTTTTATCAATACCACAAGGGTATATCTTGATGTACAAAAAACTGGCATCACACGTAAAAGGAAGAGGATATATTTGCTTCTCACCGAGAAGCATACTCGCCAGTCAGACTCGCTGACCCACGCAGGTGTGGCTACATGTCGTCGTCGAATCCCGGTCGCAGCAGGTACACGTCGAGGATCGACATGTCCGCGACGCAAATCTGGGAAAACCAAGAGCAATATGAGCTACGTTTCACTACGACAAAAAAATGTGCACAAGAAAATGAGAACACCACTACTTACGAACATGACGTTGAAGGCAAAATATCCTTCACGGCGCTAGAAGGGCGCCTTCTGCTCACTTCTCGATGCGACGAAGCTGCCGTCAAAGAATCCGATCACGCCGGGTAGGGGTCCAAACCGAAGTAATTCCTCTTTCACGGCTGCCTTCTCCTCCGCCGTTCTCGGAAAGTGAACCCACTTGTAGCTGGTCCCGGCGTTGACGATCGCTCGAGCCACACGTCGCACTAATATGCTGACCGCGGGCTGCATCACCGCTACGGTGTCCTCGCATCTCACCGACGACTGGATGGATCCGGCGGCGAAGAAACGCGGGGCGCACACCTTTGCCGCTCCACCGTGAGCGCAGCCCGCGAGTCCATCGGCGACTTCATCGCAGAATCACAACACCGTTGCTTTACTCAGGTGAAAGTGACGCCCAAACTGTTCGTCTTGCATGTCAAACGCGACCTCAACATCCTTCCGGCGATTGTTGTAGGCCACGTTTATGTAGCCAAATGTTACAGCGAAGGTCGCTGGCTCAGCCGGCACCGCCGTTTTTTCTATTCTGTTTGTGACGGACCCATTCGCTGGCTGCACCGCCGTAGTGCGGAACCGATTCCGTTTATTTTGCCATAATAATCGCATACTTGTCATTCTGACATCACCACAATTGGAGCTTCTGGCTCGTCACTTGACTGACAGGTTGAACGACCAATCAGGGAGCGCCAATGGGGGCCAAAACGGAATAAGGAACACGGAATAGCAGTTCGTTATACGGCCACAGGAGTACACGATCATACACACCTCGCCATCATACTTCACGGACAACACACTTTACTGGAGATAAACAACTTAACACGTGTTCCTAGGTAGTGCCTAGGTATAGGGAGATCTTTATGGAGCAAGCAAGGCGAAAGCTTCTCCAGATTCAAGTTGCCCGGATGGATTCTGTGAGAAAAGAAAGGAAAGTGGGTTTAAAAAAAGAAAAAAAGGCGGATGAGATTTCAAGCAAGGAGGACGTGTGTTTTTGCGCTCCCGTCCTCACCCCAAACTTCGCTCCGCGCTCTTCGCGCGCAGCCCTTTTAAAGGCTACTTATGGCACCTCGGCGAGGCACCAGAAAGAAATCTACGCAGTAGGATGCCGTTCTGGCAGCCTCGGCATCATCTTCGGTGCCAACACAGCAGCAGCAGCAGGCCCCAGCCAAGCCAGCTAGCTCCAAAAAAACCCAGCCGCAGAAAGTCAGCAGCCATCACACTGCTGCTGTCTCCGCAGCTTCGAGCAAAGGGAAGGCGTATACCGGATCTTGCTCGTGTCCTGCCACGGCCGTGGCTATCTGCGAGGGATACCCCCCTGGCAGCAACACCTCCTTATCTCCTTCAACCACTCCGGCCGCCGAGCAAACGGCGCCTGCCTCCAGCGATCGCGGCGTGTCCCCAAGCACGCTCCCGCGTTCTGACGGTCCTCACGTTGTTGACGACCTTCCTCCGATTGGATGTGCGGCCACCATCATCTTTCGGCCTGTCGGGAAGAAGGCTAACTTCCTGGCTGCTTCGAGGGATGCGATCGCCGCCTCCCTTTCGGGGTTCCCAGCCACCAAGCGAGTGCGGGTGAATTTCCGGCGTAACCTTGTTGCTGTGGACAGCTATCCCAACACCGATCTGACTCCCTACTTGAGGTCGGAACGATCTGTGCAACCAAGGTTCGAGCCAAACAACTCGACCTGAACACCTGCGTTGGCATGGTTTTTGGAGTGGACCCAACGATCCCCTTCGAGGACCTCGCCGACAACCTTGCTTCACCTGTGCCCACCGGTCCGGTGTACGCAGAGGCAACTGCCTCACCCTCACCTTCGCTGGAACTACCGTCCCACCGGATATCCTGCTCTATAAGCAAAGGCGCCCAGTTCAACCCCGTCAGCCCCGGCCTCTGCAATGCTACCGTTGCGGCCGCTTCGTGCACGCAACCACCACCTGCTATCGGGACGAACGGTGCCTGCGCTGCGGCCTCAAGCACGCCCCAGAATCGTGTGCAGCACACCCCCGTTGCTTAAACTGCAGCGGGAAACACCCTGCAACCGAGCCCCACTGTCCAGCCTGGCAACTTCATCGCAAAGCCGCGGTCATCATGGCCTCAACTGACGGCACGCTGACTCGCCGCCAAGCCCTGCAGCACGCTAGCACCCCTGGCAGCAACCCCTCCATCATCAAGGGTCGCTCCTTCCGGGATGCGCTCTCCGGTACCGGCGACACCACCTCGGATGCCACCCCTTGTCCTGCAACGAGTGCGCCCGTCGTCCCCACAACAACGACGACTGCCCCGCTCTCGGTCACAGCTCAGCCGGCTCCTACTGTCGTCGAAAAGCGCTCGACAGTGACGCAGACACCGCGCACTTTCTCGCAACCGCCAGTTCCCGTCACCGTCAACACAGGCACGACGATGTAGCCCGCTTCTGCAACCTCGCAGCAACCTGAGGTCCAAAAAAGGAACGAGCTCCAGGACCGCCCTAGCTACAGCACTTCGAGTGGCGCTCAGGGCCCTACCAGATGGCTATGATCGCAATGTCACTTCTTGGGCCCTCTTCACCTTCGAGGCTCGAGCCCAACAGTTTGGAATCAACCTGGAGGACTCACCCGGTTATCAAGAAGCCGGCTCCCGTCCGTTATAAATCGTGCACATCACTTTGCCGCTGGCCTTCTTGGTGGTAGGTCCCAGTTGACTGCGTCTGGCATACTTTATTTGCGCGTATGCTTACTCCGCTCTTTTTTTTTTTTCTTCCCCTACTGCTAGGTCGCGCTGCGCACCACGCCTTTTTTTTTCCTGCTCCGAGTTCCACGTGTCCTTGTTCACATGGGCTGCTCGGAGCTGCCTGACGGCTTTTTTTTCCTCCCCCTTCTTGTTTTTTTTTCTTTTTCTTATTTTTTTCCCTTCCTACTCTACGTGGGCGCATTCAGCCTTTGCAGCAGACACTCTCTCCCCTTCACTATCAGTTCGGGAGCGCCCAACCTTCTTTCCACTTGTCCAGTGGTTTCTTTTATTTTCTCTCTTTTTTTTCCTCTCTTCCTTTCCCTTGACGGGCGCATCTCCTCACCCCCGGCTTCTTCGCGGGCCTTTCTGTAGGTCCGTTCGATTCGCCTGCACCACGTGAACCAGTTCACGAGGTGCTGCACCTTACCATTTGTTTCAGCGGTGCAGCATTGACGACCGCTGAACCCTGCCATTCGTTTCGAAAGGTGCAGAAGAGGTGCAGCACCGATTCACAATTTTCCTGCACCTCCTTCGCTGACGGTGCCGGCTTGGTGCAGGCGCGCGTGCAGCTGAGCAGACGACGCAGCACTTAGACGTAGGTGGCTTAGGCGCCGTACCCGCCTCTACAAATGCGGTGTGTTTTGCCAAGATGTTTGCGCCTCATAAACTGTCCGCATGTGCGTTTCGCCATAGGTCGGTGTTTGCTGAATGTTGTAAATTAACCGAAATGAAATAAGGCCAACACCTTGTCGGCACATCGTCATTTGTTTCGGGTGTCGTGCTGTGCCTGCACCACTGAACTCACGCTGCACAATTTCTGAACTTCGCGTGTACAGCCGTGAACCGGTTCCGACAGGTACAGGTGAATCGAACGGACCTTGTATGTCGCGCTTTCGCGTTTGTTTCTTGCACGCGTGCGCGATACGAGTGATCGAATGCTTTTCACCACTCTACTCTTACCTCTTCTCTTCTGTCTCTTTAATTCCCATCCCCCCCTTCCCTGCGCTTACCTGTGGAGGTGCCCTCGTTAAGAGAGGCAGTAACGGGACAGCGCTTTTTTCTTCCTTTTCCTCTTTCAAAGTCACTTGGTTGGACGGCTTTGTACATATATGCACCTGAGCGCACCATAATTAGTATGTGGCCAATGAAAACAACAATGTACATTAGAGATTCGTTAAAGGATAAATTGTAAGCATTGCGGAATTCTCGTGGTGTCTTTCATTACTTGGGTTACAGCAAATTTTTTTGGATTAAAAGTAAAATTAAATGGAAGTAAAACAGGTTTAACACGGAGGTTTTTCGGGATGAGGTTGCGCTGAATAATATCGTACTGCTGTCTTAAAATATTCATTGAACGTTTGTTTTTTCGGCTCTGGATAGAGCTGTTTCGCGCAACGGGACGGCTTTAAGCTCTCCCATAGTAGAGTACTAAGTAATCTAAATCGTGAACCACTTTCTCTAAACACACAATCATGGGACGGCTTTCGGCTCTCCTCTAGTAGAGTGTCTCGTACTGCTCTTTCATTACGCGACTGATGCAGCTTGTGCCTCTTCCATAGTGGAGTGTGGCTCTCCCCAACGTTACTAGAATAAACTCCGGTTGAAACCTCCGCTGGAGATGCGGGCCGCGAGGTGGTTCCGAGAACTAGAGGCGGTGTAGTAGTCCAGGGCCGTACCCAGGAATTTTTTACGGGGAGCTTTGCGTGTAGAACGGCTGCCATTTTTTTAAGATTTATACTGGCTTATTTTTGTGAATAAAACAAGTACATCGCTTACTTGTAATAATTCGATGGTACTTTTCAATTATTTGTACCCAAATAAAGAAATTGGTATGTCAACCTCAAATTCTGGTTAAAGCAAGAAACAAGTTTGGACAATAGCACCACCAAAGCCGGGGACACCGCGACCAACGGCTCCTGATGAAGTAACACAATGTAACCGCGGTACAAAAACGGTATGTATGTGCTACAAGCTGCCACTCTAGCGTCGCCAGCGCGAAGTCGGCGACGGGAATGGCAGCAGGTTAGGTCGTTCCGTACGTAAGCAGAGACAGTGGAGAGTTTTAGTACTGCGTACGTGGCGGCGTTGCGTACGTAGGGACACCACATTCTGCGTAGTGCGCATGCGCAGACCGCAACGCGCACGTATCGCGTTACGTACGCACGCATGAGATGCGTGCGTGCGTACGTATGAGGTGATCGCGCCGCTTTCGAACAAGTTCGCGACAGCGCGAGACTTCGTTTTGCAAAATGGCGGCATCGAAGGCAAGCACCGACCGGCTCTGTGGCTTAAAATACGGCCACAATCTGGCTATAACACTTGGATTGGCTCACATTGGCTGTCAACAACACGTGCTTCGATTTTGATCTACCAGATGGCGCAACACGCTTCACGCTCGTTACGTACGCGGGTACTACGGCGTACTAAAAGCCGATTAGTGGCAAACGACGCCATGTAACGCAAGGCACTTGCGTGATGCGTACGTAGCACCATTCCGCAGTACTAAAACTCTCTAGTGAAGAGATCAGAGACGTATGTGGGGAAAAACAAAACTCTAGTGATATTGCAGCGCTGCAGAGGAATCTAGGAATATTGCAGAGGAATCTAGTACAACACTTAATATTAACTAACAAAATACATATAAAATCAATAAATCAGCTTACAAGAGAGAAGTATTACAACCTACACAAAACTAACCAACAATAAAACTACAGATGAGAAAGTCCGAAGGTATAAACAGGTGAAGGGATACCTGTGATGACCGGCAGCGTTGAGTCCACGACGATCGGATGCGAGAAGTCAGAGAGAGTTCTGGCACAACTGCGATGTCGGCGGTGTTGCAGCGCTGGTGTTTCCGGGAGGCTAGTGCTTGAAGCCGATCTCGGGCAGGTTGAGCTTACTCGAGATTCAAGTACCGATGCCTACGTTACAGACGTTAATTTCGCGTCACAACTAGACGAATGGCTAAGCTTAGGTGGCCAGCCGACACGGAGCCACAACCACTTAAGGGATACTTCTTAATCTCCTCCTACACCATGTTGGTCAGCAACTAGACTGCTTAGCAAGGCGAAATCCTGCTCTTAAATCGACCTCCGTGTCCCCTGATTCTCGTCCTGGGGGAAAAGAGACCTCTACATGGGTCCAATCATGCACGTTTCATTGTTAGAAACTCCACCCTAAAAATATATTGACCACGTCCCTTTTTAATTAGGAGAGGGTCCTCAACGGAGCGAGAGTGACAACCTGTTGGGTTTCTCTCATACGGCTTGTCCACAAGCAGTTTTGCCCGTGGGAATGGTCAGTTTCCTTGGTTTCAGCCGGTGCGTCTTGCAGTCTACAGCTAGTTCGGGGTGCATCGCGGCCTTTGACGACCCTGCCGACGCCGCCGTAGGTACAAAGGATCAAACATCGGCGACTAACGTTTGAAGAAGAACACCCCATTCAGTACTTCCCTGCACTAAAGGCCAGTCTTTTCATGAGCGAACGGTTCTACCGGCCAGCGGGGGAGTGCGGCGCCCGTTAATTTGCCGTTACGCCGGGTCGCAAAAATGGCAGTCCGTGACAGCATGTATGCAAGCAAACAAACAAGTCGCCCGACATTCCGATCTTCTTGTTACCGTTCGCACATTCTGCTTGCTGGATAGTTTCCTCGTAATTGCGAAAGGATAGAAGGGTTGAAGCTTGGGCTAGCTGGGTTTAGCTTTTAATCGACTCTTGAAACATAGAGGGAAGTTTAAACGAGGAAGTTTTTCCTTCTCGGCAACTTGCGAAATTCTGTGAGGACTTGTTCTGGGGTCACTTGAAGTTCTCGATGGATGCTGAGCAGTGCTAGTCCGGTCAATCTGTCGTTGTTAATATGATTTCGAAGGTAGCTCTTCAGCCTTCTCAGTGTGGAAAAAGTCCGTTCCGGGGTCGACGTCGACACGGGTAAAGTCGCCAGGATAGAAAGTAGGCTGTGGATGTTCGGAAAAAAGTCGCGGTTGCACATCTCTAAGGCCTGTAAAGCACAAGCTGGGCGATTTTTTTCTTCGATCTGGCAGCATTTGTTCACCCACAGTGTGAACTCTGCTTCGATGACATTAGCCGAAGGAATGTCGCCAAGGTAAAACTGCACTGCATCATCAATAACAGAAATGCTAGCCGATGCGAAGAATTTCGGCAGGAGCATGTTAAGGCCAACCACGACCTTCTTATGGGCATCTAACCGGTCTCTTAATTGATTTTCGAAGTCAGCCAGCAAAGGCAAATACACATTCCTCCGGTATAGTACTCTTCGGGAGTAGCAGAAGGTACGTTGCTTCTTTGCATCTGCCTTCCAGTGATGCGTGGTAGGGCCATCTCAACATTTGTGATCTTCAGCAAAGAGAGCGACTTCAGAAAAATCTTATTAAATTCCGTTTCCGCACTAGCCCTTTTTGTGGAAAGAACGTCTATAACATTCTTTACGTGATCGCATGCTTGAGCCAAGTCACAGTCAATTTTTTGAAGAAACTTGCAAAGTGGCAGTGTCAAAGAGAAGAGGTCGCTACAGATCTGAAGCGAAACGACAAACTCGTGCTTCGTAATGGCATTGAGCAGTTGAGAAGCTTTTGATGAAGCCTCAGATGACGCGGCCTCTTCTTCCAAATATTCGAGGAATTGTACAATAGGCACGTACAATTCAAGGAAACGCTGAAGTGCATCGTGACTCTCTACCC